AAAAGGACCAGAGAGCCCTGGGCCACTCACTGGCTGAGTCTAGTCCACCTAAAATAAGACTCACGAGCCAGCACATGCTCACCCTGCCCTCCCACTCCAAGCTTACAACACTGGCAAATACTCCTCCGGCAGATGATAGATTGCTCCACTTCTGAAAAGTTTGCCAGAGGTATACAAGGCACGCAGGCAACCTGTTGCCCTCCACATGTTGAGTATAACTCCCATAATCCCCAACCTTGCAGTTGATGCTGATGGGTATTATAACAGACCTAAAAGGTCCAGAGGACAACAGGCTGCCCTTTGACTGACACACGCTTTGAAAACTGAATCCTGAAAATGGGAAGCTGAGGGCAAAATGAGCAAGTGTTTTGCTGTTTCTGTTTTTGAAGGGGCACAGGAGGGTGGCTGCTCCGGGAAGCTTCTAATTCCTTTTTCCCACCTAACCTCCTCCCTGTCTGTAGAAAAACAATACTAAAGGGGCTGCTTCTTTATTTTGATCTCCTGATCTCAAGGGAGGCTTAAAATCCCTTACTTACTGACCTTGATAAGAGTGCCTCTGAAAGCAGTAAGGCCTCCTACTTATGAGGAGACAGGACTGCACTAAAGACAACCCCATCCGCTGTATAACTGTATCTGCATAATACAAAGTGCAATTATATCCCATGAAAAACATGAACAAGCAAAACTGCTTTTACCTGGTACCTCAAAGAAAGAGAGAGAGAGAGAGAGAGAGAGAGAGAGAGAGAGAGAGACAGAGACAGACAGAGGAAGTGCTTTCCAAGTGAAAGTACTTATGGGGCTGCCAAGAAGAGAGTCACACATATTAGAGAAAAATAGAAGGCAATCCCAGAGGCCTTTGCCATTCATTTTAATGCATCATTTCACTCAGCTGAAAATGCGCCTTTCTGAAATTCTTGCTGCCTAAACAGCTTGCTTAATAATCTTTGCCTCATGACAGGATAGACTTTTGGCTATAATCTTGCAGAACACCAGAATATGTGTTCTAGCTACTGTCTTTTTTACAGCATGTATGTAATTTAGCTGCTTCACCTCACTTCTGGCTAGCTCTTTGCTCTTATCTGTGTGCTTACTAATCAATGCTTGCAAACAAAAATTAGAACTTGTTCACATGCCTTCTACCTCCTAGATTCCCATCTTTGAAAACAGCTTAAGTGGAAGGACTCTACACGAGCTCATCTTACCAACATTTCTTTGGTATACTATCTTACAAGGACCACATGTACTAAAAATATTAGTGGAGTTTCAATGCAGTTATTTTGTGAAGCCTGGAGAGAAATCAAAGGAAGAAATTATGATATGACCTAAATTCAAGTGTTTTGCTTTTAATCTTAGTTTAGAAAAGTGATACAAGCAGATGATAAACATGTTTAAGTTATAAATCCAACTTTAGACTGTTCATTACTTAGAAGTGATTATCAGAAACATTTCCCAGATAATCATTACTGCAAAAAGATGAAAGTTTAGGGTACAAATACTGAAGCCAGGTGGAGTTTTATTCATTAAAAAAGCAGTACATTCCTCATGGGTATTTCTCATATATTCTGGTTAACACACACTAGCTTACAGTTTAATTAGCAGCTGGGGTGTGAGAACGTCTTATGAAAAGCAAAATGGACCTGATGATTTTAGCTTAGGGCAGTGCATTCAGGAGGAGGTGGCATCTATCTAGGATTTTACAGGTCAAAACCAGCATGCTGAATGATGCTGAGAAGCAAACTGAAAGATTTCTGTGCATTGCCTCCTTTTTCTTCACTGGCTTTAAAGAACACAAGTATCACTGAAGCACTGCCACTGTGTTGAACTGTGGTCATTCTTTCTCACTCTAATGTAAGCATAAGGGACCAATTCAGATCGAGAGCCTAGCACAGGTGATAAAGGATCATTATTTATCAATTTAAAAATTTTTTAGCAATCTTTCAGGGCAGGATTCCTCCCAAGGTGATGCACAATAATAAAACGCATAGTAAAAACCAAAATGGTCTTAAAAAGCAATAAAACACAATAAAAATAGCAGTAAAAAAGCAAGAGCAGCAAACATATTACAGAAATGCTACAGTTAAATATTATGTGTTCAGAGTTTTCTCAGAAGTTTGCAGTGATGGAGCCTGGTGGACCCCGATGGATATTTTATACTAAAGATGTGGGCTGGTGCGGAAAAGGCCCTTTTGCATGTGAACATGCATCTAACAAGTAGGCAAGTGAGACCGGCTTCTCTTGCTGACCTTAAAGTGTGAACAGGCTGATATGGATAAAGGCACCTGTAGATGGGTTTGGGAACAAACTAGTAGCCAGTGCAGCTCTTCCCCCCTTTTTACCCCCCCCCCCATCCCCGCAATGTAATCCGAATCAGGATTGCCCTCTCTCCCAGACTTGTAATTTTCATTCCCCAGAAGTGATCTGTTTGTTTTAATCGACTTATTGGAACAGAATGAACGATGTAGTTTGTTTTTATTCAACTATTACTATACAGAAAGGAAAAAAGCTATTTTTCTATGGCACCTGATTCATTGCTTATAAATCCTATTTATAAGCTGTCCCACTTTTAAGAAATCTCCAACATTCTTTGGAACCTGCTCACAGCTTATAAATTGGACACTCATAATTAAAATCTTTGTAGTAACTCTATGGAATGCGAAAAGATGCAAAAGCTAATTTACGGTCCAATCATATGGGCTGGCATACAAAGCTACAGGACAGTCCGACACCATAAAGTCTGCCATCATGCCAACACTGCAAGGCATCCCAATGCAGCACCATTCGTTTGCCCAACCGAGATTAAAAGTGTTGCTTCTGTTACCAGGGACAACAGAGCCATAGCAAACAGACTTGCTAGGCCCAGAGAAAGCAAGCTGCATTGGCCGCTGGAAAATCCTCCAGAGGCCACATAGGGACTCGGATTCAGACACAGACACACAGTTCCATACCCCCACTGACACAATCTTTCCCCTCATACGTAAATATCTTTACACATGCAAAAACGAGCATCTGTCCTGCCCCGCTCACACCCAATCACAGACATGCAGCCCCCTCTCATACACAGAGGCATGTAACCTCCCTTCTCTTGCTTCCTCACACTCAAGGGCTTCCCTTTCTTCCACCTACAGTGTCCAGGAAAATGATAGGGACACAGGCACTGGACCGGGAAGCTTGCTACAAGCTTGGACAGAGGAATATTGGCCCCTTGATGCTAAGTGGCACACGAAGCAGCTGGAATATCTATGGATGGCTTGCCTTGCGTGGCTGAAAAAGCACTTCCTTCTCCAATGTAAAGCCACAGAAGCTGGGTTGGGTGTGCTTTTGCAGCATCTGCAAATTAGCTATTGCAGCATTTGGGGATGGTGTGTTGTGGGGACAGGAACGGCACAGTGCGGGCTTCAGAAAAGATCCTGAGGCCCACAGGTGGCCCATAGACCAGAGATCATTCATATGGGCATTAGGAAAAGACCCTTGTGGTAAAGGCACAATTAGAGAGAACTGAAGTGCTGGTCCACAGGAACTGGACAGAAATGGTTACATTGGCAAAACCCCATACACCTGGGAGGAAGGCCGTGCAGACAGTGCCTCTGGGGCTATTCAGAGCCTAAGCCACTCTCTGCACTCACTCAGAGACTTAGGTTTCAGTGGGACTCTGAAACAGCCTGTGGAAGAACAAAACCAGTCAGTGGAAAAACAAATTATTCTTTAAATGAAGGCACAAATAAATCTCTCTGCTGCTCACACAGCAGCCTTCCTTGTCTTGTGAGCAGAGAGATGTCGTGTCCTCACAGTAGGGAGTTCACATGGGCACCATAAAACACTTCCCTTCCCAGAAGACCTATGCACATAAATCCTTTTGGCTCATGCCCATAACCTTAACTACAACCTTTGTTGGCGTTTGCATGATAGTAGTGGAACAGCATAGACTAAACCTATTAAATGGTTATCAGCTTATATTTTTTAAAAGCATATTTTATGTAGAGGAATTAGAAAGAACAAGAAACACAATACACAGGTCAAGAGAACCTACTGGATCATATTCTAGTATAAAGCAAACAACATAACATTATATTGTACCATAAGACAATGGGCCCATACATAGCTGACTTCCTGGAAGCCAAAATTTGCAAAACTGAGTTTTGTGGGTTTGCAAACTCTAGTTAAGGGGATTGGGAAGAATCTGATGAGCATTTGCCATAGAATTAGGCATGGGAAATGCTGAACCATGAGGCAAGCGATGGGAGAATTCATACCAGGGAGGAGCTGAAGTACAAGCTCCTGTGACCGGCTCCCCATCTGTAAAACAGAGACCCTTATCTTGTTCAGGAATGCTCATGAGGGCTGAAAGCATGAGCTGAGATGGCAGGCTGCCATGAAGGCTGCCATCTCCCTGAGTGCACCACCCAGTTCAGGCCTCACCAAGTTGCAACAACCCAGATTCAGGATGGACATTAGGAAAAACTTCCTCACTGTCAGAGCAATACGACAGTGGAACCAGCTGCCGAGAGAGTTGGTGGGCTCTCCCGCACTGGAGGCATGCAAAAAGAAACTGGACAGCCATCTGAGTGGGATGGTGTGACTCAGTCCTGCGACAGCAGGGGGTTGGACTTGATGGCCTTCATGGCCCCTTCCAACTCTACTCTTCTATGATTCGGTGATTCTATGTTGAATAGGCACGGACTGAATGGGGGTTCTGTTGGCTGTCGCTTGAACATGTATGGAACTCTCGTCACAATCATGCACCCTAATAAAGCAGGATCCACAACTTGGCTTGGGAGGTCTACTCACATTCAACAACCACACACAGAACCCCCTTTCAGATTTCGCCTGCTCAGCAAATAATAAGCCCAGGGTCACAATGCTCCCAGAAATGTTGGGGTGGGCTGGAGTGCCCAGCTCCATCTCAGGGCACACCTTACGCCCTCATGCATTCAATAAGGGCTTCTGTCCCATCTGCAACACAAGAGGTTTCTGAACATGTGAAGAAAGAGAGCTTCTGCTACCTTGTAACTTCTTGCTGCAGTCGAGCAACGCTGGGCACGTAGAACATGACCCCAAAGAAAAGCAGAGGCTCGCTGGCAAACTTGTCCAGCTGCTTTTTCAAAGGCTTCTCCAGTTCCACCCATCTCATTTGCTGGCTCTTGCTGTGAAACCAAAGGCCAAAATAGTGTGTCTAGAGAAAAAGAAGATTTAGAAAGGAAAGTTTATTCTACTGGCAAGTTTATGAGGGCCAACCACCCCTCCATCCCCTAACCTGTTTAAATTGCCACTTCAGTCAGTAATCACAATATATTTCATTTTTTTCTGCCGTAGTAAAGTACAGCTTTCAGCCCCCACTATCCAAGTGCAGAGATGAACTCTCATGACCCGTTTGCAGTACCTTAGTGAAGTTCACATCACATCTGGTTTTGTGAACCCACACCGCACATAATCTTTAAGTGACTTGGAGTTATGGTTAGGGGAGGGGAAATAGCTCATTGTCAGAGCACATGCTTCACCTTCAGAACGTCCCAGATTCAACCCTTGCGCACATTCAGTTCCAGTGATCAGGCAGCAGGTAACTGGAAGGACCTGGACAGAGGCAGCCAATCAGACGAAAAAATACTGGCTTCAATAGACAAGCAGAGGGCTGCTCGTGCTGACAGCCAAAAGGCACTCTGCAGCTACCCTGCCTTTTCTCCCTCAACTGATTCTTTCCCCTAGTAAAATATACATGGGAAAAGCAGTAGAAAAGCCAGGAAGATACAAATGGAAACCTGTCTAGATTAGTGAAGTACCGCAACTGGAGTATTGTGTTCAGTTTTGGGCCCCTCATTACAGTAAGGATATAGCCAGGTTAGAGTCAGTGCAGCGTAGGGCCACAAGGTTGGTGGCTGGTTTGCAGGGGATGCCGTATGAGGTGAGACTGAGGGAACTGGGTCTCTTCAGCCTGGAGGAGACTCAACTTCTATCAAACTTGGGACTCTTTTTATTATTGGCTAGAGAAATGGGACTTCGCATAGATTTAAATATGTTTTTAAGTTATCATAAATGGGAAGAGAAAGGTGTGGGGGCTGACCCAGCAGGCTCGAAGTTTTTGATGATGGATGTTGTTTATATGTTGTTTTGTTTTTTAGGATTAGAATTTCAAATAAAACTTATTTAAAAAAAGAAGAGAGAAGAGGAGACTCAGAGGGGATATGTTGGCGACATACAGGTATGTGAGGGGATGTCACACGGAGATGGGTAGAGACCTGTTCTCCCCTGCAGAGGAAGGTGGGACGCGCTCCAACGGAGCAAAGCTCAGGGAGCCAAGGTTCCATTTGGATGCCAGGAAGCACTTCCTGACAGTCAGGACCCCGAGGGTGTGGAATGGGCTTCCAAGAGAGGTCGTTGAGGCCCCATCGGTGCAGGTGTTCAAGGATAGGCTGGATGTCCACATGGTGGGCATGTCGTGAGCGGAGCTGGCTGGAGCTGGGGGTCAGACTAGATAGCCTGGGAGGACCCTTCTGACTTGCTCTGTTTCTATGTTTCTAATTCTGTTTCAGACAAGCCCTTTCCATAAGACTGAACGCTCACAGCAAATACACGTTTGTGAATTTGCAAACCCATTGAAAATATCTACAATATTGACAAATGAGAATTTGCACACTTTACTGAATAAGGAAAGTGTTCATTTTGTGTGCACACTTAAAATGCAGTGAAAATGCACATTTTTCCAACCAAAAGGTGGGGTGGGGGGCAAGGGCAAGGGTGAGACTTCAGTTCAGGAATGTGCACCAGGTGAACAGAACTTTGAGGAAGAATTCAGAGAACCTTGTTCAGCTCCAACACTGCACGTTTGTCCATATCAGAACAACTGTCAGAACAAGCATGCATTGGTCTGATATCAGAGTAGACTAAGACTACCAGCCTGGAATGCTGCATCTTCCAAGATGGCAGGAAAGGCTGCTTGCTGCAACAGGTAAGGACAGAAGGTTGGTGCAGCCACTGACCGATCATCAGATCCTCCTACCCTCTTGCCTCCTTTGAAGCATGACCTCTGTGTTGCAATTTGGTTTCGTTCCTCTGTCACCTTTCAGGGTCAGTTCTCCCAAATCATCTCACATACATGATGAAAACCGTAAGATACAACCAGGAGCAGAACTAAATGACAGAACTAAAGTGGCAGTCTAAGATGCTGCCAGCCAGAATAACAAATCAATAACTTACACAGAAAAAAAATAAAAATTAAAAATATTCAGCTGAGCAACTGAACTAAAAGAGGATTAAAACAAAAAGGGTTTTTCAAGGCCCACTTAACAGCTGGCAAAGAAAGGCCACTCCTGAAAAGGGCTTATACCCTGTGCTTGCCAATCTAACCTGGCTTTGATGGTGCATCTGCAAATATATTTCTAACACAGAAGTACAGAGAAAACTGCAAGTGGGAGAAGTCTGTGGTGCAGAAGCAATTGATTCTACTGCCTATGAAATCTGGTATCCTTTAAATATTAAGAGCATAGGAAAAACCATGCTGGGTAAGATCGAAGGTCCATCTAGTCTAGCACTCTGTACACAGAGTGGCAAACCAGCTGCCCTCGCGATCCTTCAAGCAGGAGGGGTGCAAGACCTCCTCCTGCGTAAGCCCCTCAGCAACTGGCCACCTCTGGTCAAGGAGGCAGCACAAAGCCAGCAAGGCTCGTAGCCACTGATAGCTTTCTCCTTCCTCATGACTCTGCCCAGTCTTTCTTTAAGGGCACCACCCAGACTGGTGGCCATCCCCACTTCCCAATTTGGACAACTCTTTAATTTAAAATCTTTTGGAGGTAATTTCATTCCCAAAATGAAATAGCAGAGATCCAAGTGAAAAGACAGTATTGCAAGTACTTGTGGTTGTGTGGAAGACAAGCATTGTACAACGTTATTACAAGTATCAACTAGAATCCTAATTTCCAGTATCAGAGATGCTAAAATGTTTCCAATTAGCTGAAATGAAATGTGGTTTACATTTACATCCCTTGGAAGCACTGAACAGTATAATAATTTAAAACAGCATTTCACAGAAGCCGCTTTTGGAGTCTCCTTTTTCCTTTTTTCTGTTTAAGAAATGTATTACAGTGGGGAAAAGATACATGGTTTCTCAGAAGAGATTCCAGAAACTAAGAGAAGCAAAAATAAAACAAGCAAATATTATCTGAAGCTTGTCCAACATTCCAAGAAAGAATGACTGAGCACAAATTTCTCTCCTTGGTTGTCTTGCAAATAACAGTGGTTGTACAGAAACATTTTGGTGATGACGGCACCAGAATTAGTTGCAGGGGGATCATCCTTCATGACATCCAGGAGAAAACAGGGGTATTTATATTGCACTAAAACATACTGCTTAACTGGTTAACCATCAGCCTGCAATTAAGTACGATCGGCCTGTGCTGGAAAGGGCCACCCGTCAGCTGCATACCCATTACTTTACTGAAGCATTTCAGAAAAGAGCATTGTTTCTCAAATACGCCATGTACATCACCTGATTTATTTCTTCCTACAATAGGAAATCAGATAGACAAATGACACCTTGGTCAGCATCCAAGAAGCAGAGGCTCTGCTGGACCCAAAATCATCTGTACTGAAGTCAGAACCTCTCCCCTTATGAAAACGGGATAGAGAGTAACCAAGAGTCCATCTGCAGTGCCTGCAAAGACTCAAGAGTGAGGAATACATGGAGAGAAACCCTCAATTGTCTTCTTTGACCAGTTATTTCAAAAATCGCAGGCACAAACAGCATTTAGGCTAGTCCCTGCTATTCTCCTAATGGGTTGCTGGGAGCCCCCACTCCTGCTTTGCAAGAGGAAAAAACCCTTCCACCAACACAGCACAACAGGTGTGTGTGTGGGGGGGGGGAGATGGAGAGGCGGCCTGTGCATTCCTTGGCATTCTCAAAGGCCAGGAAGGGAGAGCGACTACCACACTGAGCTATCGTAGCCAAGATGGCCAAGTCAGAATGCCGGCTTCAAAGGCAAATATATACTTTGATACTGCTGGCATACTTGAAGCCCGGAGGAAGCAGAGAACCTGTGGGGCACAGCTGTGTCTGGATTCAGACGGAGGAGCAAGGAGAGGGAAGGGTTTTCGGTGGGTGAGGGGCATAATGGCAAAACCTCCAGACATAAAAAAGGGGATGGACTTTTCTACAAAGCTGCTGCAGCTGACAATGACAGGGCCCTAAAGGAGGGGGTTCAGCTAACCAGCCCTTTCCTCAGTCCTTTCTCCATGTGGCGAACCACAGCAAGCCAAACAGATTTGACCTGGTGGGCCCAGGAAACGTTACTGCGCTTTGCAAGAGGAAAGGTTTGCTAGTCCCTCCAGCTCTGAAGGATGACGTGATGCAATCATTCTTTAAGAAACCTTTTCTGAGCCCACACCACTGCAAGAACATCGCCCATTAGAAATGTTCCCTTTTCGGGAAACGTACTAGAGTAGTGGCCGGGGTTCAAGGGCAGGTGACCCTTGACACAATAGATTATCTCGACCTGATTCATCTGGGTCCAGGTTTAGACACTGGGACAGCCTCTGTCAGGAGAGAGGCAGGAAGAGTGCGACCTTATTCATTCTCACTGATCTCTCAGCGGAGTTTGATACTCTCAGCCACAGTAATCATGCCGGACTAACTTTATGGAATGGGTGTAGGGGACATGGAGACACAGCCCCCACGGCAATGTTATTTATTTATTTAGTTATTATTTATTTAACATTTCTATGCTGCCCCATCACAATAAAGCCTCAGGGCGGCTCACAAGACATCAATAAATAAACCATACAGTAAAACCCCAATACAATAAAACCCCAGTGCCATAAAACCTCAATAAAACCTCAGTGCATTCTCGGCTAAAAAAAAAAAAAAAAAAAACCTAGTTAAATAAATAAATTAACAATTAAAATAAGTTTTAAATAAAAAGGTCTTAGCCTGGCACCGAAAAACAAATAACAATGGTGCCAGGCGGACCTCTCTGGGGAGCGCTTTCCATAGATGGGGCGCCACCGCAGAGAAAGCCCTCCTCCGGGTACTCACCCTCCTGATGTCATTCACAGAGGGTTCCCGGAGAAGGGCATCCTCTGTGCTTCATTTCATGCCCCATACTTTTGAACCTCCATATGAAGATTGATATAGATGGAGGCCATCCAGGGATTTTGAATGGGATGTCAACAGTATCCTGATGGTGC